GTTGATCCTACTTTAATTGACTCTGACTACCCGAGTGTGTGCACTTGTGCAGCTCTTCTGTTTACAATTTGTCAATTAACAACAACATAACATTATAATACTATAACTTAAACATAAAGTCTAGTATAATTTGATCTGTGACATGTGGACGCCGGCCACTGCGCAACGCCCACAAAACATTTATACATAAGTCGTGACGTCACCACTTAGTTAACAAATGGTATATAATTATATATTTAAAACTAGTGTTTACATTACGAGCAACCGCGGCCTATGTCGTGTGACACTCGCCGCCGGTACACACAGACGACAATTAAAGTAGGATGTTACAGTTTGTTACGGACAAAGATCAGTTACCACTACAGAATTAACCAAAGACAACATGGTCACAGTATACAATAATTACATGGCAGGTTATAGAAACAACACTTTGCCATAAGTAGGTACTACTTAATTACATGTGTGCTTAGTGCAGTGTAGGTACGTAGGTACATGTATCGATAGTATGTACTTGTATATGTGTTTAGCAAACACAGTTTGTTTGAGTGTTGTGTTTATTGCAGTGTCTCACATAACTACGTACCTACAGAGTGGTTTCCAGAATAGAATCGAATCGAACAACGTGTACAGCTACAGCAGATAATAATACACAATGCACTTTCACAATATTACCCACTTACGGAGACCAACCAATTGCTGGTAACATGAAGACAACCAGTTCGAGTGACATGCAGCTGCCATTGATGTATATATGGTGGTGTTTGTTCGACTTAGACATTAGGCCTTCAGCGTACAACGCGCTTAGTGCGCTGCTACCCGAACGTAACCTAAGCGTTTAACTTATAGCTAACTAATTGATAACACAGAGCCGAGTCTTGAGAAATATTAAATAGTATTATGTATATCATATGCTACTAGTAACGACGTCAAAATGTCTTAAATCACTACCTAAGAATATAAAGAGAAGAACACATGGATCGTACGACTCTGATAAAATGTACCGGGCCGCGTCAGGCCACGCCAGGCTGCGCCTCGCTGGGCTAGGCTAGGGCTAGGCTGTAGGCCAGAACGACCTTCTGCATGCGAATGTACGGGGAGGCCTGGCGAAGCGACTGGTGGTGGGAGCGAACTGCTGCCGCGAAGTGACCCTCGCTGGGGCGGCAGACTTGGGTACCTACATAGCTTATTCGAGATGGATATAAGATACCATAACATTACGAATATAATGAACTACAATGAAAGCCTAACATTGAGGGGCACACAGAGATGTGTCGGCGACGAGCACGCTAGCAGGAACCTCTCTGTGTCCACTGACGGAGGAGTGCGGCAGGGTCAGCAAGGAGGAGCAGGCAGCAGTCACCGGTGACTAGGGTTGCCAGGCGTCCGGGTAAACCAGGTGATCATTAGGCTTTATGTTACCTGCCCAAACAAAATTTGCGTTGGCCGGCCAGCTATTGTTATCATCATATAGATACTGGCGCCGCGTTCTCGTGTTCGCGAACAAGTTAATATTGAGGTTGACGATTGCGCTGCTGCCGACTACATTCATTCAGACATAAAATCCTTAACGGCTCAGGGTCAAACTCGCAGGACTGCCCAGTCTTTGGGTATGGTGGCCTGGCAAGTGGCAACCCTACTTGCGACTGTAGTGTGGTGGTCTGCTCTCGCGGAGAAGTAACATGACGCGTCCCTCGATAGAAACAGCAATACATTCAGATCAATATAACACCTACACTTAAAACAAATAGGTACCCACACTTAATTGTACCAACATGTAGGTACCTTGAAATTTGCTCAAAATGAAAATTTACGTACATATGTGAGTATGCGGCGTTTTCGGACCTGTATGTTAGCTCTAGTGTTACCAAACTCATCAAACACACATTCACATATATTGGCACAAACATTCGATTACAAATAAAGTATCTACGTTTACATAAAAATACTCAATGTAACGTCAAGCAGTAACGTTCACGGTAGATAGTGAAGGGGATTCGATTCACAGCTACTTAATAAACTAAAATGGTTTGAGTCGCAATCTTTTTAAAAGATGTACCTACCAATCTGTGAATGTAGCGTACAGTTGAGATAACTTGCAAAACTGATAATATGTAATACTTATATACAGGTACCATGATACGTCGAATCTTTTAGAATAAACGACGTCACTTTGATTTTACGTCTAATTCACTAATCCTATATTACATTAACAATAAAACAAGTTCGTTTAGATGCATCACAGTAAACAACGAAGGGAATACGTAAGCACGGGCTCCTGTACATGTAATATTAGAGTGCGTACAATTGTATGGCGCGGCACACGTCACGCGCGGAGTGTAATGCCTCAACCAATCTATCTGTACGAAGCTCAGAGCGGAATATTAGTCTAGGTTGAGAGCCAGTGGCCACCCGAGGGAGGGTAGCGGGGCGGGGAGGAGTGCAGGCACAGGTTGTGGACTCGGTCACAGCAAGCAGAGCTCGTCGGGTAACGAAGCAAACTACACACTGAGGTAAGCAATAGTAAATATATCATAGCTACGGATGCATTGAACTACGATACCTAACACCGTCCTTCTAGCTGCCGGTCCTGAGGACTCCTCTCGTGAAGTGCTCAGTAGTCGCGCAACCTAAGTCTATCGAGGCGTTCGAAAGAGCCGGCAATATGCATCATACGAGAATCCAACAGTTCATTACGCAGAGCTAATGACGCACTGAGCTAACAACGACGCACTGATCTGCTGGTGCATTGTGCTACGACGCACCTTGCTACCGATGCACTGCGCTACTGACGCTCTTAGCAGCTGGCGTACTGATATAATGCCATTGAAACACTGCCAGGAAGGCAGGCGGAGGCCACACGTTCCAAAGAGCCATCTCTGTAGCCTGCTGGAACCGTCACTGCGGCCGGTGAGCAACTACTACTATAAACAGAAAGTGCCATAAACAGCACGACACCTATTAAACATTGAAATATGGTAAAACAGTAATCGTATACATTAATATGATATTTGGCTACTATTTTTGGTTGCAACGTGAAGTACCCGTACGTTGGGCGCCTCGCCCCGCCGACTCGGCCAGCTACAAGACGTGACGTGACGTGACGATGTGTCGTGACGTGTCGCGCGGGGCGAGGCGGGGCTCGTGCTACTGTCCCTAACTACTCTTACACATACACATAGTACATCAACAGCTCCCCTACAGTAGTCAGTCCTGTAACCAGGACTCTATATACATACATATATTGTATATCTCACGCGAATGAAACACAAAGTAAAACCTAAAGTGTAAGATAATGTAAGTAGTTACAGATGTATAATAATTTAATCAGTTCTTAGAAAATATTGAGATTAATAGTTCCTACAGCTCAGTCAGCCGACACAATGCCTTGGAATTTTAGAGCTTTCACTACACCATGTATTACACATGAATACTGCATCAAACCTCGCCGGCACACCGGTAGCGGCCGTTTCATCAGTGTGCCACTGGTTAGCAACAGAGAGTAGCAACTTGTAGGTGTCACGCAACGGACGGTACAGGCGTGCCAGCCTCCCAGGCTCAACACAAAAACGTTTGAACCCCTTCCTAAAGGTTACACCCCGCGAGGTCACAAACTTTTAGTCTTAACCTCCAATAAGCACCAAATATTTGACTGGAAAACTTAGTCGTCAAACAAAACGACTCATTTTGACTGTAGCTCTTTGTCCGCCTAGAAGAGTACAGCGTATTAAAGCTAAGGTGACCAAGACGTTGGCGGCGGGCGGCGGGTGGCGGGCGGCGGGCCCAGGCGGACTCCTTGCAACACAATCATAATATCTTAAACCTCACTATGAGTTCCTATAAGCTCGATTTATATAAAGTTTCTTTAGTAGTTGTGTGGCGTGACAGCATTATGCAAGAGTTATACTAAACAGTGTAATATAACGTTGGTTCGCAGGCTCGTGCGCCGAGAGTATGCGCGGGCGCATCTGCTGCTTATCTTGGTTACATAATTATAGGGAGGGTCCTGGGTACAGCACCTTATTCAAATATTTCTGTGATATTTCAATCAAAACTTTTGTCGAATTACTTAAGTTACATTTCTACCGATTGCATATCCTGGTTATGCGTTTAAAGAAAAGATAAGAACAATATAACAGTTAACAAGTTGTCGGTGAACTGGTCAAGTACACATCTACGCTTGCTTACGACTGTATACACACAACCGCAATCCTTAACTAGAAGTAACTGTAACTCCGAGTGGAGGGCGCAGTGCGCGGCGCGAGTCGCGCGGCGTGGCCAGTGGGCGCGGGGCGCACGCCGCGGCGGACGGCGCGCCGGCGCCGCTCGTATGTCCGGTGAGTAAGTCCGTGTGTCAGTGCCTGGGTGGCCCGCTAGGGGCCGCTCGTATCATGAAGAGCGCCGCCCGAGCGCCGCGTCGTGGACGCGGGGCACGCGTGCGGCATCCTTCAGTCTTAATGGTGGGGGTTCTCGTCCAGGGATCGTCACTCCGGTGTCGGCACGCAGGTTGTGTTTCATTGTCACGTTGACTCGCTCGATCTCCGGTAAGTGGATGTTGCTTTAATGAAGTCTGTAGTATCAATATTAACAACTACTGAAGTAAAAGTAAAAACAGCTGGCCAGTTTGACAGAAATTTAGGGGAAATATACGCAAGTTCAAGCTACAGTTATAGCAGAAGTATTCAAAGACTTGTGTTATTGTATCAACTCCACTTCATTAAAGCAATGGACACTTTGAACGGAGTTCAAGAATTTCAACTTGTCGCAATAACACAGGCGCCGTGATGTGGGAATGAGCCGGGAAATGCTCTGAATTGACGACAGATGGCTGAGGGACAATGCCTTCACTTGCTCGTGTCCTGAGGAACATCATGAGTCGGGCGGGGCCGGGCTACTACTGTGCAACTATATGTCATGGTGGCATTGTCCCGCCACCTGTGTATTCATCATGGAGCCGTCGAATCAGGGAGGAGCGTCACTTCCGGGTAGTCATGTCCGAGTGTTTAGGCGACGTGAGTGTCGTCGTGTGCCGGCGAGCCGGCGGGGCTGTAGTCATACATGGCTGTCATTGGGTTCTCAATGACATTCACCACCGCAGCGTTGAGCTTGTTTTGCTTACGACGGAAGAGGAAGTCTGCCAAGCTGGCAGCACGGCGAGGGCCACTGCCCTCCAGGAGAGCCTCGATCTCCCCGCTGCTGCGCGACTCGGCCACGCCACGCTTCACGTCGCTCAGCGAGAAGTTTTTCTTGGTCTCGGTGATGTGGAATGTTTGGTCGAAGTCCGTGGAGTACGCCTTCGAGTTGAGCAGCGACGTGATGGTGGGCATGCCGGCGTGGTCCGCCAGCGACAGTGGCCGCTCGAGCCGGCGCAGCACGCGCGCGCGCACTGCCTCCGCGATGCTCTCGCGGGACGACGCGCCGCCCTCGCCGTTTGCTAGTTTCGGGCTAGCCATGTCGTTGTTCTCTGCAAAGTTTCATATTATTTGTAAAGTGTATTGTTGTAAAATATCTATTTGAACACATTTATATATAGTAGCTACATCAATGCTAGGATAATTACCCCTGGGGATGGACGCCCTGGGCGAAGGTCCACCGTCCTCGTCGGTGTGTCCCTCCGAGAGGGTCTCCAAGGGTCGGTGCTCGGGCCGGCCGCCGGTCGTGTTGCTGCACTCCTGGCTCGTGCCAGACGTGGATGGCTGCGGGTTCTGGAACACCGAGCACAGCCAGTCAACAAGAATACTTATCACCATTTATTTGTTTTAGTTAAATATTCGGTTTTAATTTGTCTAAGTAACAAAAGTGACGTTCAGTAGAAGTGAGTAGTTGGGACACGGTAACAAGAGTACTGAATGCTTACGCTGTAGATGTCGAGGGTGCCTGGCGAGGTGGTCTCCCCGATGCCCTCCAGGAAGTAGGTGACCATGTTACCCTTGCCCTTCACGTCGATGGTGCCCCGGCAGCGCAGCTTGTAGCCGCGCATGGCCAGGATCTCGTACACCTCCTCCGTCACCTGCGCACCACCACTACAGCTCCACAACGTGACCGCTAGCTATGCACTAAACAGTACACGAGTCCGCGCCAGCATCGACCGAGCCAACTTCGCAATATGGTACCGTGGCAGCGCAGTCGCGGAGCAACCAGCGAGCGCACTAACACTTGCACTACGAGCTACCTTACAGTACTAACATCATGTATTTATTCCATTATTTGGAATCGTGGCGAATCAATTATTTGCGCCCAACTATCAAGACTTTCTACAATTGATCTAACGTGGTTATATTATATATTTTTAAATGACATATCGGCGTCCGTAAGTTCGGAGTTGGTAAGTACATAAATGTATTTTAATTTCATGATTTATTATAATATAAATAATGAAATTAAAATTGAAGCTTTCATTATTTTCATTTATTCATAAAACTGGAATGATATCAATTAGTGATCAATTGTAAAGTAGACAAAGAATGGAAGATATTTAGTGAATTCGTGTAGAAGTGGTGTTGAGTAAGCGGACCTGGATATGGTCGAGCAGCCCCGTGGAGTCCATGCGCGACGCCACGTTCACGGCGTTGCCCCAGATGTCGTACTGAGGCTTGCGGGCTCCGATCACGCCTGCTACCACCGGCCCGATGTTGATGCCTGCAGAACGATATACACCTCGTTCCTCACTTATTCTTGAGTACCATTATCTCGCAGTAATCGCAAGCAGTGTACATTACAATAGGAGTCGCGGTATATTGTTCGCTCTCGTCGTAAGAAATAGCACACCCGGCAGGATGTTTAATCACGACTGTTGCACAGCAGGGGCGCATTGCTCAGTGGAACAGGCTCTTACCAATCCGGATTCGGAAGCTGTTGAACGAGTGCTCGTTGACATACTGCAGCTGCTCCCGCAGGCGCAGTGCGTAGTCAGCCATCGCGGTCACGTGGCGGAAACCGCGGAGGTCGCGCGTGGCGGCCGTCAGCCCTGCGGACACGTCAGTGTAGCTCTGCAGTAAACCCTTCACTTGTATATTTAATAATTTACTTACATTTATTTTGATAAAAACATTGCACCAGGATGTCCTCCTGTATCGTGGGTGCGTTTCGAAACACACAAGTTTACACACACATGCCACGCACACCCGAAACAACAATTTGTAGATTACACAAAGAGTTGCCATATGAATTGAAAGATATAGTAGAGGCATCCACTAGACACATACCTGATGCGGCCATGTATGTGGCACCTGTGCTCTTGATCTTCTCAATGTATTTGAACTGGTCCTCGGCAAGGATTTCGTCGAAGTCGGCGATAATCTCGTTGAGGAGGCGCAGGCACTCTACGCCCTCATTGTTGCCCTCCAGTTCTACATAGAATTCCGAGAAGTTCGGGATGGATGCGAACATGACGCACACTGACTCGCATTGCTCGTGGTACAACTCCTGAAACACAGCATCCCTCGCGTGAGACATGGTCCTGCTGTCACCTGCACCTGACTGCAGCAGGTCGCTGGAACAGCTGGCACTGCACTCACATCGATGTTCTTGTCGCTGCAGAGGAAGTGCTGTGCGACGTGCTCGGGCAGGATGTTGGCCAGCAGCTTGCGGTTGTACGCCTCCAAGTGCTCCATCTCCTCCTTCTCATCTGCAAGTCATGACGAGGCAATTTAATTCTAGCATCAGGTGCTAACTGCCACGAGTACCAACTGCACTGATTATCCTCACATGGGTTATGGACAGAAAAAAGACGTTATGCGTTACATATACTATGTGATCTATAATATAGTTTATATAATGTATGCACCGTTGGCCTGCAGTTTCCAGATGAAGTCGAGCCGGTACGTGCTCTCGGTCTGGTGCGAGTGCAGCAGTAGGGCCACTGTGGCACCCACTGCAATCACCACATCGGTCCATTGTTGGTTCCAGTCGAGCCCGCAGCGGTGTCTGTGGACCACACTACTAACAATTAATTTATTACCTAAATATGAAGAACACTACAAATGTAATGTTTAATTGAATGTCCATAACAACATAAGAGTAGAATCTCCCTTCCCACTGGTAAGGTGCCATCGTACAATGTACACAGACGTGACATAGGCTACCCAACAAGCAAAATCATGAACTGATGAACTTTAGGAAAATCAACGGCTTTCGCGATTTTTATACTCTTCGAAAACCAACCTACTTTTTATAATGAGCTATGCGTAGTAATCAATTTTCACGAAGGACTATATGTACATAAATTTTCCATAATTTGTTAATGAAGCGAAAGAGGTAAGTAACAATCGTAGCAATTGGTGTTCCGTAGTCTCTGCCCACCCCCATGGGGGACATGCGTGAGGCTATGTATGTAGTTGACAGCTACAAATGAGACAACTTTATGTAAATGTGAATGTAAGTGCGCTTGTCTGTTTGCCTTCTCACACGTTCTTGTTACTAGGTGCCCGCGCAGCCGCACCAGCCACGGCAGGCAACTGCAACTGTTACATCTCTCGTTAATTGATTGTGACGTAGCCAGGGGCGTACTTACTGATAGTCGTGGAAGTGTTGCTTGAAGATCATGTGCTCGTGGATCGTGACGGTGGCGTACGCAGTGCACGTGAACGAGAGCAGCAGCAGCTTCACCACCGTGATGAGGATCTGGTGCACGGCGCACAGGAACATCGCCAGCAGCGTCAGTTGCAGGTAGTGCTGCGGCACACGACACACGTTACACAGCCTGCGACACCATCGTGCGCAGTGACGTACGAGCTGAGTCAAAGCATTACCTCGTTCATGTCGTGTGGGCAGTGGTGGAAGTCGCCCTGCCGAGTCTCGTTGGCCAGAAACTCCTGCTTGCTCTCCGAATCGAACAGACCTTGCACCTGCACACACTTTCAGAAACTACACACTTTAGTATACATCAAAATCAACAAATAAATAAATTCCATCTTGAAACATACTACTGTAACTGGTAGTTATTGTAACCAGCAGCTGTAGCCAAACGCCATTATGTGCTTGTCTACTTGAAGAGTAGAAAACCAAAATATATGGAATTGACGTAAATTTTGACACTTGTCAGTGTCATCCCCATACATTTAGTTTTCTGCTCTCTCAGTAGACAAGCGCTAAAGTGGCGTTTGGCTAAAGGCCCTGTATACGCACCACGGAGGCGCACGTTTTGATCACCCCGGTCGGTGTATTACTATACCCATCTCGTACTATTGTACGAGCATGGGCACAAACGGCTCAACACTCAAATTGTCTGCTATGTTGTTTTGGACACGAAAAGACTACCAAAGCTGACGATTAATTTTTATTTTTTATTAACATTCATACTATATTGTATTATAAGTTCAATAGCAGAGGGACTGACCATAACGACCTGGATCTGGATGATGAAGGAGGTGACGACGGTGAAGGACACCATCTGTGCTAGCGTGCGGTTGTTGTGCACGCGCTCCGACAGGCGGCGCAGGCGCGGGTTCGAGTGCTGTACACACAGGGGACAGTAGGCGGTGAGCACTGCACTTTAAAATCAAGTGTTTAACACTTCGTAGTCAATGCAAGAACTCACCTCAAAGTCCAGGCAGAGCACCAAGTACGTGAACGAGCAGATGATGATGCCAGACGTAGCGATGGTGATAATGCTTACCGGCTTCCTGTCCGTGCAAACATAGTGTGTTACTGTTGTCCCATGTCAAGATATAAAACATTCTCTACTCTTACTCAACATACATGTTTTAAGTACTTTGAAATATTAATGCCCGAGATCAGGTCAGAAAGAATCAGTTCACCGTCAATCTTTAGATTAAATATTAGTGGTACGAGGAGCGAACACTTACAGGTTGTATGAGACGACCTGGATGACAACGCTGGCGAAGTAGATCGCCAGGGTGCAGATGAAGTACACCTTCATCATGCGGTCGCGCTCGCCGGTGTACTGCAAGGAGAGGACGACGTTGTAAATATCAAGGCGAGGTAGCGAGTGGTGTGTGTGTGCGCGGGTGTGTGTGTGTGTGTGCCGTGTGTACCTTGCGCTCCAGCTTGCTGTCGCGGAAGGTGAGCGTGCAGGGGCGGCAGTGCTCGGCGCGCAGCCTGTCCGTGGAGCGCGCGTCGATCGCCTTCATCAGGTACTCGTTCACCTCATCCTCCGGCTTTTTGTTCTCGTTGCTGGCATCTACTCCGATCCTATAAATCAAGGGAAGCTCAGGAACGCTGCGGTTTTATGACCAATATGGTACAAGGCGTAACTTTTATTTAGGCACTATTGCGTGTTTGAAAACCTCGATAACAAAGTACTTCCTTAATTAGAAACATAATTTTGATAAATTATTAAGTTTTTTGGTTTACTCTCGTAACTGTTTAATGAGGAACTCGACTAGTTTCAAGCCATACTCGAGGGTCATATTCATGAGCAGTATTCCACGACACGCGACGCGGCGACTGTCGCGCTGTCACTGAATATGGCTTTACTATGGCCTAAACTAGTCGAGTTCCTCATCAAACAGTTACCTGAGTAAGCCTAAAACCGTAATAATTAAAAATGACAAAATATGAAACTATTAACAAATACTCAATTATGTTGTAAAAATATTTGTAAGTGATTAGAGTGGGCGAGTGAGCATGAGCATGTAGTGTAGTGTCACTCACTTGGAGGAGTGCTTGCCGTGCTGCGAGCCGTGGCCCATGACGCGCATCTCTTTCGACACGTTGCCGTTCAGCGAGAACGAGTGCTGCGGCTTCTTGTCCTGCGCACACAATATGTTATGAATCATTGTAATTTATTATTTTTTAACTTTTATGAAATTCTCTACTAGATTAGGTACTAACCACTCGGCTGGTATCGTCGGGTACGATGAGGTAGGTCTCGATGTTGTGGTCCTTCAGGTAGGCATTGCGCAGTCCGCCGTGGCCGGGCTCCACCTTGTAGTCATCGCCCAGGCAGCGCAGCGTCTCCTTTGTGATGTGCACGCGTCTGCACAGAGAACATCATGCATCAGAACGATTGCACCCTGCCAGTAGTTGCGGGAAGGGAGGGCGCGGTACTCACCCAGCGACACCGCCACTCTCCATGTAGTTGGCGAGGGTGACGTCATTGGACCAGACATCGAACTGCCATTTGCGCAGGCCAAGTACTACGCAGTGCACACGGCCGGTGTGGATACCGACGCGCATGTTCACATTGACGGCCATCACCTCGCGCACCAGCCTGTGACGTCACAAAAGAACAAGTGAGCCAGGCTGGGGGGTTGAGTACAGCAAGTAGTATGGTGAGCATGCAGTATACTAACGCGATGGCATCAATCATGTCGAGTCCCATCTCAACGCAGCATTTGGCGTGGTCGTCACGCGCCTCGGGCAGGCCAGACACGCAGTAGTAGCAGTCGCCCAGCAGCTTGATGCGCAGGCAGTGGTGTTCTGCTGCCAGCCGGTCGAAACTGAACACCAACATCAACATCTAATAGTGTCATCGTGTGAGTGTAACGCATTACGTGGACATTCTATTATTTTTGCGTGTTATTACTCGTGAGCTGTCCCTTCAATTACCCATATGTTCTATGGTGGAGTAAAAAACTTCTATAAAAGTACAGATTTTTGTGAGTGCAATATTAATTGTTAGGCACTCTTTAGGTGATTTGTACATTAAGACATTAATTGATTTCTTATTTAGTTTGAGAATATGCAGGTAGGTACTCGTGTGAGAAACTATATAACAATAATGAGATCATGAGGTATACAAAAAAAAACTTCTGGTAACTTGACCCCAGTAGATAATCTAAACCTCATCTCGTTTGTGGTACGATAACTGTCGTATTGATATCATCGTATACGTTTGCATTATATTTGTGTGCGTGGGCATCGCTTACTGTAAATGTGTGGACGAGAAATATTCGAGAGGTCAGAACTCGCAAGGAGGGCGACATAGCTATAGTCGTCACATAACATAACATCACGCCTTTTATCCCGGGGTAGGCAGAGGTGCACATTATACCACTGTACATTGTAACACCCACTTTTCACTATTTATGTTATGAATCCCATGTAATAGGGGGTGAGCCTATTGCCATATACCGGGTAGTGTATATATATAGTATAGTAGTTTATAGTCGTCACCCTTAGGAAATAGGACATATGAGGTAGAGTACTAAAGCCCTAAGAAATAAGGTGTCCAAAGGATTTACGGTGCTTACGCAAGCACCTGTGATAGAGTAGTGCGAATAAATCGGGCCGTGCACATGTCTCGTCACGGGGGGCTCGTAAATCCGTGCTCTGCGTTATTGCACCTTTTACGGTGTGCCAGTTGAGGTCTCACTGTCGAGAGTGTCGAGTAATGAACTCGGTCGGGAGGGTGGCAGGAGGGAGACGACCCCTCACCCGTCACCCCCGGATACAAATCTTAAGGTTTACAACGGTAAAACCGATAATTGGAGGATTTACTCTGAACTCTGACCTGAATAGTGTGGGGGTTAGCTGACCATAGTGACACAAAGTGAGACACAAGCAGCGTCGATACAAGACGTGTCGTAGACCGAGAATGATACATAACTTCTGCAACACTAGACAAGGAACAAGTGCGCTGGCGATCTTTTGAAAAGGACCCTACACTAGTACACTCTAAGTCTCATAAATAGGTACTGTTACGGTCATCGCACACCACACCACCACATGATTCCAAGGTTTTATTTAAATGACAAGTTAATTGCTTGGTTGGAGCCTAAGCAGGGCACGTAGATGTGGGATGACCTGTAAGGTGTCACTATACATTAGCGGTGCCGTGTAGTGTATGCTTAGTGTGAGATGTTCCACAGTGTCTAGTATTATTCGCCATCGCCATATAATGGTATTGTAATTGGCCAGTGACGTGTGTAATGAGAATGTCGCGGCCGTGCACACACTGCGCTCCTCGCACGTGTCACCGACAGAGACAGCCCGCAAATTAACACATCTCTAATTAGATACCGTAAACCCATCATTGTCATCTACAACTCGGTAAGCATATAGCAGAGTGTATATGTTACACACTATTAGGTAACAAGATGATGCGTGGGTACTGGGTATACCCGCGGTGTCGATGTGTCTGAATGTCACATATGTACCGTGTGAGGTAGCCGGGGTAGGACGCTGCCGGGCCCGGCTGAGGCTGAGGCGCCTTCCCTCGCCCAATTAATCTCTCGGCACAAAACAAAGTGATTAACTCGCGCCTATTATCCGTAGGCCCGCAATTTGTAACACTAGCTGTGGCGTCGAGTTGCGCAGCCCCTAATGCCGGCGACCCTTGAGATTATCACCTGTATCTTACGAAGGTTAACATTTAGGGGTTAAGGGGCACGCCGTGGAACTTACTTTATCTTATCGTTTAGTTATTTCGTTTCCCATACATATTTTTGTAAGGTTCACTAGACGTGTAGTTTAATTTCATCCCAGTAAGGGCACAATATAGGTGTTTGACTAGTGGTAATACGCAGTAGGCTCGTCACCTATTATAGTGAGGATCAAACATTACTGACAAACTTGGATGTCGAAATTAATGTGCGCCTCTACTTAGTACTTCGAGGAACAAAAGGCGTGATGTTACAGTGGATCACTTATGTTGCATTTTCAAAGTATAGTATGTTTGGAAACGATTCAATCAAACCATAGTTTATGGCACAGACTCCGTCAACATTTCAATTTCACATCTCTATAGTTTATTTATTTCTATAAGCGTAATATTTCCCCGAGGGGTCGCTGGTGGTGCAGTCTTCAGTTGTTGCTTTATATTCAACAACTCGAACAATTGCCTCGTGATTGCAACCCAACGCTCTCATTGTACGTTATGTTTTATCACAATATGTATCATTTGAGTTTTCAGATGGTTACAATAGTATGGTTGAATACAAAGACCGCCGATATAATAGAATATAATCCATGACTGACCGAGCGAAGAGCTCGTTCAGCAGGCGCACCAGCTCCTCAGCGGTGCACTGGTCGGACAGGGAGGTGAAGCCGCAGATGTCAGCGAACAGGATGCTGCAACACACAAACATTACATATTATCAACGACGTATACATAGAATCATTTCGCTACATGTCAGTGGTGAGTTCAGTCCGTATTGAATGGTGACTAGCGTTTAGCTTACACAGTTTCCAATTGTAAACATGAAACACTAACGCGCGACCCGTGCGGCACTCAAATAGAGCGGGTGACGTAAGCCAGCGCGCGCATGTGACACAACACATGTACAACCGCCTGCACTCAGTTTACATTTAAGAAGTGGCTACACATCGTATCTGTAATTTGTCCAGTAAGCCTCGCTCCGAGCTGTGAGCCTCAGAGATTACTCAGAGATTTACCATGAAAATGCAATTTCCTTCGAATCGAAATTCAATCTGTATTAAATCTGATCTGTTGGAAATAACTTGAGTCTGCATTCGTGACATAAATATAAGTGTGGTCAGGTGTAGCCGGACATTTAAGATGCCCGCTTCTCATGCATGAGGGTGCGGGTTCAAAACCTGTATAACAAAGTTACTTTTCCAAGTTATGTGTACTTCCTAGGACTGTTTAGACACAACTGACAAACGACGAAGGAAAAACCCAGTAAGGAAACCTGGGCTTATAGTTTCTAATTATAAGTTTGAAATTGCCAACCCGTATTGAGCAAGCGTGGTGATTAATACTCAAACCTTCTTCGTGCGAGAAGGCGGATTTGTTTAGTAGTGGTCATGTATAGGCTAATCAAATGGCACCTATTTTAAGTCGAAAAAAAAAGAATCACGCAGTCCACAAACCGCGTCGTAATCGATGTACATAAAAAAAAGATATCAGCCGAATTGAAAATCTCCTTTTTTTGTCGGTTTAAAAGTATGGCACCCTGTGCGCTGCGCCGTATGTTGACGGTAAAAAATATAATATCACATCTCACTTCGCCGACTATTACTGCGGCTGCCATGAGGGACTGCACATTATCAATGATACAACCTGCCAGGCGAGGAGATCGCTTAAGTAAAGAAAAGTCTATAACCCTTCTATTACGTTATTACTATAAAAATTACGTGTAATTTTTGTACTGTTTAAAAAGTATCAAAGTGACAAGGTAAGAGTGCAGTCATATTATCATAGTCTAGTAAACGCCTGCGACAGCCAGTGACTCGGCCGATCCGGCCCGACAGCGTGGTTTACCGCAGACACGGATTAGAACTCGGGACTCGGAGTTGTGATCAACTGCAAACCAAACGCCACTTCATTTCAAACAAACCTTTTATTTAGTACGACCTTACTGCGACGCGCGCTCTCTGTATTACTCACGAATTGCATGTCATATTCAACTTTTACTAAGGTAAACACATTACATGTTGTTTCGATAATTAATTAAATAAATAATACAATTGTCTACAGTTTAAACTTTCCCTACTAGTTGAGCATATCAAAGCGAACTTTAAGAATAAATCTCCCGCTAATGAAACATATATTACGATATGTTCGCAGTGAAGCTACATGTTACGTGACGTCCGTTACTTACATCGCTGTCGACGACAGGTGACAACACGTGATGTCAGGTCCTGAGACGTTTATAAACGTTATTGAATATTTCGGCTCAGCGACAAAATTATGTTTAAACTCATAATTCAGTCACGTCACACTTCAGCGATCATGTTAAATGTCATGTTTAACGTCAGCAACCTAAATCTCGTTTACTCCCAGTAAAAGCTCTTTCTTATTATTTCAATGCAACAATATTGCTACAATCTAACTAATCTCAATATTGACTTGGCCTACGTCTCACTAGTAAAGTGGTTTACTACTTTGTGCCAGTTACTACAGCTTCGTAGCAATACCTACGCCACCCGTAGCTCCGTAGCAATGACTACGCCGCTCGTAGCGAAGTGCTACGAATGTATCCAAGGCAGTAGAAGTCATTGGATGATTTTAGCCCCTCAAAAAAGAATAACTTTATTTCAGTATGTAATAGTAACTTACAGTCTTGTAAAAGATAAGCCAAACTACTGTATTTTGTCATCTTACTTCATGAAACGTTTACCAAAGTGAATGGAGTGCGAATGAACGGCGGTGTGACGTCACGGGACTCCGTGAGTCCCGATTAGTATGATCTGTGGTACTGACTGACTCATGTCATCACGTCGTCACGGCTCATGTAATCGATACGATTATTTTTAGACCCAAACATTGTTTAATTAAAAAAATACTGTATTTTGAATTTCTGAGTAAAATTACATTCACCGCAGTTAGGTTCATTATAAACAAAATAAAATGGAACAAATGCGAAACTGCACGCTGCTAGGACAAAATATTATTAAAAGCCTGCGTCGTAGCTGCGTAGTACATCGTAGTACTTCACGTAGCCTGTCGTAGCAACTCGTAGACACTGTACTACGAGTCCTTTTTATTGCTTATTGCCTTTCCACATTTAATTTGAAACTAAGTAACATATAGACAGGTACATATTATTATATCAGTGAACTGGAATAAGAATAACGTCATTTCGTGTTCTCGATTTTTCGGAAAACTATTATTTGTTTATTGAAAATATAATACGCTAACATTCGTTGTTATGTTACATTTATAAATCAGCCATCATGCTGGTCTATCATAGACTGTACAGTAAGAATCTCTCCTAATCAAACAGTATACCATGTATTTAATTCATTATACGAGTATAGATGGCGTTAGCAGTCCAATCTCAAGTATGTTTGGCAAATCTATAGCCAAACTGAATACGAGAGTAAAGATGTAAAGGGTATATAATATACAGACGTTACGACTAAGTTCAGAATGAAGTATTAACGTAGTTTATCGCTAGATGGCACTATGTCAAACATTTATAATTAGCGATTACATTTTGACAAAATTAATGAACAGTGGAGGGACTTGACGGTAGATTACTAACATATGTGCATGACACAAAAATAGAGTGGCCCAACAACAAGATGCACTACATTACATCTACTTGTGTTTGTGTTGCTACTTGTTGCTTAGTTAAAGTATTATACCTTTTAAAAGTGAAAAGAGTTCGTAGCACACTTGCTACGAGTTGCTACGAAGGGGGCTACGTGAAGCTACGAGGTACTTTTATGTGAATATATTATACAGATATTTGGTAGGATTGTGATATCTATTGTGTTTTATCGACTTTGTTGGATTTAACAGTTTTAACTAAAATGGCAGATTCCTCACTGTGTGTATATACTGAGAAAAGCTCTACTAACCCGCGATTTTAGTTAATTTAGTATGTCTCACGATAGTTATTGTAATTTAGGAGTTTTGTTGAAAAAGGAGGAAGTTTAATACAGAACTGTAATACATCTGCTTCTTCTTAATATATCGCATGCTATTACCAATATACACGCATAAATTACACGCGGGACTGCAATATCTTGAACTTTGGGCGCTGTAGCGGTTTCACATAATTTTAAAGAAACATACCCGGGTCTGGCTCGGTATTCATAGTTTCCACAATGTTAGTAAAGGATTTACTTTAATTGTGTGTACACGACAACAGCTGCTGTGTCCGTGTGTGCGGCGGACGCGGGCCCGCACCAGCGCTTGTTCACTGGTTACATTAACACGCCTAATTACTCGCAGCCGCTTGCCGAACTATACACTGACATCGGAGCAAGCCTCTCACCGCGCCTAACGTGGGCCCGTTTGTGTATTAGGATGACATTAAAATTAGTTTAGTACAACATTCAACATGATATTAATCTGAAACATTATAGAGGTGTGCATTAGCAAAGGACATAACGTTGCACACAACATCAATGTATTCATATCAATATAATTATAGATTAGTCAATATTCGATATTAAAGGGAATGATTGACAAGTCCAGTGACGGAGGCCGTTTGATGTGGTAGCCGCGAGTGCACGCTCTGTCTGTTGTGTGTGTGTGTGTGGGGAGAGGGGGGGGGAGGCAAATTCAGTCGTTGCATGTGATTCTGTTTTTTGTTATTCCCATATAACTGATAATTGCTAAAATTTGTAATTCAGCATAATTCTGAAATAAATCGCTTTCTGTAACGTTCGCGTCTTGAAAATATCATAAATATTTAATACGCTCGACATGTGAGATAACCTTGAATGATAATACTGAGAATATTATTGAAATATCATGAATTGTGTGCGCTATTGAATAACTTGAACAGTTGAAGAATCAGTGAATAATTTCAAATATAGACAATTTCTCGCCTTATTGTTATATTTGAGTGAGTTGTGTTGCCTAGAGTTAACTCATTATCCGAGTACTACAGATCGAATGATTATGTTTAATAGTCTTATGAGATTTATTATTGTATGTACACAGAGTTACTTCAAACAAACTAGCGACCTCTATCCCTGGAGCGTTTTACGAATATCACACACAATAAATATTGTTCCACGACTTTTCAAAATAATTCGGATTTTAGTTCTAAATGCATCGGACAATATACAAAACGGAACAGTTGGTGCATTATTACAAGTTCAGTTGAAAATCAACACACGAATCTAAGATGTTTAGTGTATAATAAAAATGTCTTTTGATAAAATGTAAAAGTTTTCCCAAAACGGTTAGGGGAAATAACGGAACATTATCCTGGTAAGTATTTCATTAGTGTGCTGAACGATGTACCTACGTAAGTAATGTAAGCTTCGATAATAGTAAAGTTATAAGACAGTAGGGGTCACTTTTGTCGGATCATCAGCACCAGCGGGAGCAGACCTGACCTGATGGTAACCAATCAACGTCACCCATGAACACGTTACGAGTTGTGCGTTGACGATATTATAGGAGCACGTTCTTTTCTTGAACGTTTGGTGTAGTTCCCTTCAGTTCGCGAGACATACCTGACGTTCTCATAGCGCTGGATGTAGATCTTATGGAATTGCTCCTGGCGCGGCTGGCTGGCGATGTCGGCCTTCATCTCCATGGCGACGTGGCGCGGCAGCACGGACAGCAGCAGGCGCTCCTGCACACACACCATGTTACACAATGTAAGTCGACGTGTCCCCGCTGTGCGCTACTTCGAGTGGAATCAACCCGCGGACAGCTGGCGTCACTGTAACTTAAGCTCGAGTACACAACTAGCCCCTGGCCGACATGCGGCGCGTTGCCTTCATATTATTTTCTAGCGTCAAAAATTCTCTTCCCAGTATTAATGAAGCATTTCGGAAAATATAAAAATGCTTGTAATATCTTCGTTCTGATTATATTGGATGTTGTAAAAATATAATTAGCTTGAGATACGTAGCCGTTTCTTTGTTACACCGAGGTTAACACTGATACACGAGAATTTTGATTATATTCTCCTTATTATACTCACCTGTTCTAATGTTGTCTGAAGTTTGAAGGAAATAAGTGGGATATTGTAGAAACAAGAGGCGGGGTATCGAGGGTTCAACGAGGAACGATCAACAACAAAGCGGATCAACGCGTACACTGTCAGACGCAAGCGGCGCGCGGCTCGTCACAGCTCCACGAACAATATTATTATGTGTTTGTAAATTGTATAATGTGGTTGAACTTCTAAACAATACTATGATAATGTTTAAAGTTGTAACATCATCAGCCCGCCCTGGTGAACGAATTATTTATTGAATAAAACTCACTACATTATTCAAAGCCCCGGATGTCATAGATATAAGACAAACACCGTTACTGATAGTAATTATTCGCCACTAAGCCCACAATAAACTAGTGACGTGTGAGACGTTTCTACATATTAGGAGAAGTCGGATGTACCGCCGCGCCGTCTCACTGAGTACGAGCCTCTGTCTCCGGATTATCAGATCACGATAATATCAATGAATTGGAACATTCCATCGAACTCAAGTTAAGAACACTGATGTACTGAGACATTGAAACATATTCACTCGACTGGATTGTACCTCCCATTGTTGGTAACTATTCAAGTTAGTACACAGATCGACGGAGACAAAACTTACCGCCTTTGACAGAAGGAATCATATATATTTACCAGAAACAAATCAAGTATAGTTAAATATTTCAGTGATTAAGCTGTACAATTAACTTTACATTACTTGTTGACAGTGCTGGCTGCCATTTGAAACAACAACAAAAGCCCAATGAATGGCTTCCACGGGGCAGCGCTCAGCGCCGGCAAACATTGGTCCGCGACCCGCTGCCTTTGACTCCGCCACACATTTGCATTGACGGGGGCTTTGTATTTAATTTGTACACTTTTGTCGACGACAAACATTCTGTGGCGCACATTCATTAACTGGAACGTTCCACGTGGTTTCATCACGAATTTAATTAATTACCTTATGTGGATACTGGGACACCTACAGATTTGTTCATCAATATTAATACTTATTTTAAAGTACACACTTCATGCTGTCGTGGACTGGAGCTATTATGGTATCCATTTTTCAAGTACGACGATGTGCTATAGTAACCTGGCAAGTGCCAAATGTGGTCCTTTCAGTTATTGTATGACTTTATTTGGACACTATTGAAATATCACGAATGATGACGAACGAAGGTCAAATGAGAAGTTACGTTTGTCCAGTGGTGGAACAGTTATTATCACTGACCTGCTGCTGGTTCTCGCGCTGGGTGACGAGGCGCGCCTCGACGCAGTCGCGCGTCTCGAGGAAGGCGCGGCGCTGCGCCAGCTCGCGCGGGTTGTGGGTCATGATGCCCGCCAAGTTGCACGCGATCAGTGTCGCCACCGTGCAGTAGATTTGCTGCGGACGTCGTTGTAATGATGTTTCATGTTTAACAAACAGTTTCCGACTATAGGTCGGTTTGTTTACTTATCATAATCGTTAGTTTGTCATAATAGTGGACATAAGATACTCACGTGGACTTCAGCATGCTCATCGAGGATGAGGTGAGCGCCGATGTTGACGATGCTGAGCGCCAGGCCGGCCACCACGGCCTCATGCAGGCGCACGGGCAGCGCCGCGTACGTCACGTACGTGAACAGCGCGCACGAGCCCGTGCTGATGCTCAGTCCACTACGCATAACGTTTTGTGTCAGTTACATTTATCATAGAATTTATTAAATGCTACAGTCTGACCAAATATCGTTTATACATGGCGCTGCTAATGTATCGGATAGTAATTAATTGTGAACATTTACGTAATGGGGTGATTACAGATTTATGATAATGGTGGCCGTATAATATAAAACATATAAGATTATGACGTGGCTATAGACGGCTGACCACGGCCACCTTCCGGGAGTCGGGAGCGCCACATTATCTAAAACGACCACTTTCCGGCTCTCGTAAACGTGGTCCGCGCGGCGGTGGCGGCGCCCAGCGCCCAGCGCCCACCGCGCCGTTAAAAATGAAACAATAACACCTTTAACGACTGGCAAATTTGGCCGAATATTGGCCGAGTAATGCACTATCCGATAACGCCGCGCCGTAAAAATGTTCACCGACAATAAAGTCGGCGATAAACCGGCGCGACTCGCTTTGATCTCGACTGGTATAAACATGTCTCCCACCGCACTTGTAAACTTCGTTTAAAACGGATTCGTAAAGTTCCTTCTAACATTTGAAACAGTTTTGAAAATCTGCTGCCAACAAATGGACCCTCGCTCTGTGGTTTGTTTGAGGAGAACTTTGGTCGGAGTGAGAAGTTTTAATTTCAATAGAACACAAGTTGCGTGGCGTCGCTCGCCATTGTGCGGCCCGCGACCCGCGACCGGCGCGCACCGCGGACTACTCGGTGACACTCCATTCCACTCGTGTTTGGTCTAATAGTTGTAGAGTGCGCCCGCTCCAGTCACATTGTTAAATGGGCTCGGTTCCAGTGCAGAGCAAACGTCAGGGCAACTTGTAGAACTCGACTCCTTGCCTTGACTGAGATTTTACGAGTACCTTTTCTGGAACCCACTTTTTAAGGCTTATATAAAGAAAGAGAGATGTAGACTTACCGCAGGACGGCGGTGCCCGCCAGGGCGAGCTCCACCAGCAGGAAGGTGACGAGCACCACGTAGGAGATGGTGAGCAAGTAGATCTCGTTCATGGCCGGGCGCGTCAGGCACGCCAGCAGGCCTGCGACATACACCATTCTCATCACATGACACATGTGTCACTGGTTTATTGTTGTCTTTATAGAATCACTCGAGCAAACGGTCATGACACAACGTAACGGCTTGACACACGGTAGGTACCCATAGCACAGAGTTACCGAAGCTATCTCAGTTGATGCTGCGAGCGCTCGCTCGGTCGACAATAATGCTGCACTTAGTTCAAACATGATTACATGCATGTCGTCGCCGAGATCGAGGCATAATCCCATAAGTCCTTAATGGACACCAATCGATATCAACGGATTTGTACGTGTAGGATGTTTGGAATGATTAATTAATCTTATATTATTATATGAAGCTGAAGAGTTTGTTTGTTAGATCGCGCTAATCTTCGGAACTACTGGCCTGATTTGAATAATTCTTTTTGTTGGATAAAACATTTATGGAGAAAGGCTGTAGGCTCTAAAACATCACGCCATTCCCAATAAGACCCGAGCAGAGCGGGTGAAACCGCGCCGGAGTAGCTAATGTATACATTAATGGAACAAAACGAATTCTTACATAATTTATTAATTCATATCTCTTACAAATGGTACCGTCTCCGTGTACGTTCACATTTCCTGAATGATGACAATTATGATGCGTTCTGTTGCCTACTCCAAGCTGAAGCAGCAAGCTTAACTTCACGTTTGACATTAGGTCATTAGCTCTGAACGCACTTAATCCATTAACCACAACCATATCAATAATTAACAATCTGTGCGTGGCAGCTAATTACGGGAGTAATTATATACTTAGTAAGTAGGGAGGGGTACTCACATGCATAGACGAGGGCGGTAAGTCCGAGGACGATGATGTTGACGATGTGCGCGACGCGCTCCTTCTCGTAGTACACGTGGAACTGCGTCGCGTTGATCGCCGCCAACTCTTCGTGGTATCGGGAGGTTGTCACGTTCACGTATCGGTTGGGGTCATGGTATCGGCTGCAAACACATGACATGTCAGCCCGATACATACGACGACACACTTTGAATGCTCTGCTCTGGCAGAACATTCAATTTCATTCATTCGATATCCAGCAATTTTATTTACATCTTGTATATATCACACTTGCTACCTATATCAACATCTATTTATTACAGTCACATCAAGAGCTAAATAATTATGTGCTTTATAGTTAGGACTGCTGAAGACGTCATCTTTTGAAGCGAGCTTGTCTAAGCTTCTTGGAGAGTAGCAGCAATAAGTATATATAATATACTTTAAAATATTATAATGATAGCATCAGCACGTGGCCCTTACTTGGGCTGAGAGGTTAGTTTACATTACTAGGAGCGCAGGAACAAGTAAGCGATGGACGTAAGCTTCAGGTACGGGGGAGCAGCTCGTTGGCTACTTGCGTTCTGTGTGTATTGTAGAGGTACTCCGTGGATGGCAGCAGCGGCGCGTGGTGGGGCAATATCAACATGGAGTTGAATAATATAGTAAAGTCTGAATGTAACCAAGCCAGCTGCAGGAGGAGACCGCTTCCTTAACATCTTGTCGCTCAGAGGGTAACCTGGCCACCAGGCGATGTGCTCGCCTGCAGTAAAGTACGCAGTGTAACATGTTGCTTTGGTCTATTTGAAGAGTTCAGGGAGGTTAGTGCAGTTACCTGATGTATGACCATTGTGTTATCGCCTGACGTGAATGAGGAAGATACAGATTGTCAGCGTATGAGACAGAATAATGAAGTAACTCTACTGCGAGGCTGACGACTCAACCTAAAAACGTGCGTAGCGGAAGAAAATATAAAATATAGTACAAAAATAAACTGCTATAACATACTTGAAGTCATCGGTGATGTTGAGCATGGGCTGGTACTTGCTGAGGAGGTTCTGCGCGATGAGCAGTGTGCGCACCTGCACCACCAGCAGGCCCACGGCCACGGCCAGCAGCAGGCCTAGCAGGTGCGTCATGTTGGTCTGGTTCATGCGCAGGAAGTAGCGCTGGTACAACATCTCCACCTGCACACACACGCGCGGCATATTAAGATCACACTCACACTACTGCAAGCAATGCTTGGAGACGAGCAATGTACATTTGTACAAGTACTGTACAGCATCGAAGCTCTATTTGTACAGTGACTGTTCTAAAAGGTAGACGTCTTCCTTGCTATGGACATGAATTTAAGAATGGGGCAGACGGCGGCTGCCAATCCACACGCAGCCAGTGCTCACTTTGTGTTAAGTACTGTACTGAAGCAAATTAAGCCTTGCTTGCAATAATAACGACCGAAATTATCAATCCCGAGTACGTAAGAGTACATGAATTTGTACGGCACACGGCACGTGCTGTTTGTTTGACCTCTTGTATTATCCACAAATGTAATCGTTTCTGACATCGCGCCGTCGTGCTGAGCCGTACAATATTTACATCGAGTTTTCCTACTGTAACATGTGTGACGGTGGCAGAAACCTGTGTCTCGGCTAGTAATACTCAGCCCATGTTAAGCTTGTGATACATATTGTACCTACTTATATTTTGTAAGCTCTGCCTGCACCATCATTATCACTCATGACGTTAAGCCGATACAATTATGTAGTAGCCCGTTATACAAGTAAGTATGCATATGTATACATGTATGCATACAGTAGCACAGTGCGGACGTCCCAATTCATAATTGTGTTATACGCCTCAATAATTGCATCGCGTCCCGAAGCTTCCAATATATTCGGAGCCGCGTACCTTTATCGCATTAGCATGTAATTTGAACATTTCCGACAAATACACTTTGTTGGTGAAAGCCAACGGGATAATGAAGCGCGCGGCGGTCGGCGGTCGGCGGTCGCGGCCCGGCAGAGCAAACACTCGGCGAGCAATCGCACGGCCGCTCGCGCACCAGCGCGGCACCGCTCGAGTCTCATTAAAACGCATTGTTTGCTGCCATCACCCACCACCGGCACAAACAAATACATTGACATCGCGATACGCGTGTCCTTATTGCATGTAATTCATTTGCATTCAATTCCCGTCATCTCCAACCTGCTGATTGAGCGTTGTTCTGTAACGTGATAAATTACAGCCAAAAAGCTGTCTTCAGTAAACATGGCTACAGTAGGTACATGATGTGTCTACTGTACATAACTATTGATGCTATATTATGTCGCTGCTAGCTACACGAACGAGTGGCCCGCGTTGGGTTGGGGGTTACTCCATATGTGTACAAAAATGTGAAAAATATTGGTTTACTTCTGCTGTAATTAAATTTAATAATAAAATATCACATTCATGTGTTTGTGTGTATCTCGTCAGAGAAGTGGTAACCTGACGCTGTCGAGTGTACTCGACGACTAGAGACCTCATGTGAATAGGGTACTAGACACTAGATCGCGGGATCAGGTTCGGTGCACGGGGCACGCACAAAAGAGTAAAAATTGTAATTATCGGTATCGAGAGTCGAGGGTTCGCGATCGAACCGTCATTAAAACTTAGCTCCAAACTCAAATATAATGAGCACAAACTTGAGCGCCACTTGGAGTATTCAATTAATACGAGTTTTATTATTTTTTGGTTAAATAATACATTTTATGTTACAATGGTGTATACAGTTACAACCTGTGCAATTGTTTTCTAAATAAGTAAATACAAGGGAATACGGATAATTGTTTATTGTGGACAAATTAGCATTGGCTATGGATTCATCTGATGCGATAACATGCGATGCGATAGATGTTCGATAGGACTCTTAATCAAATCGATTTCAATGTTCATGGCTGCGGTCGTCCTTGTCTCAGTCGTAGCCAGTGAGCTGTAGGGAAGCGAGCAATATGATTGCATGACTTCACTGAGAGTCCCGTGGAGGACTGCCAGGTTAAATGAATTGCTACTCTTATTTAACTTTTGGATACTTGACAAGTTGGACAATATTTTTTCATCATCATTTCAAATGTTTTATTTCTCGAATTGCAATTCAAGACTCGTACCATTGCCAAAATTGAAAGTGTCCTTTAAACTTTGCGCAACAACGAATGGAGTTTCTTGCTCATTCTTCTCCATTTGAATCTACATTCACTGACGGACTGATTGACAGACTATTATTTATTTTGTATTTGTTGACGTTTCAAAAGTACCAAATAATGGTTTAATTGAAATAAATGCTTTGACTTTGCAACCCAGGAATTGAACCGGAGACTTGATCAGTAGTCACGTTTTTGACTAGTCTGTATAAAGAGGCAATCATTTTATTACTATTCCATTTTTAATATTAATATGATTAATAACCCATTTAGTGTCCCACATAACAACGTTATGTTAAGTTAACAAACACGTAAGATGCCTGACTTGATACTCATTTATCCTCCAAGTACCCTCGGCGACGATTTGTTCTGTAAGCTTAGTGAAGAGTTAACGTCGAACATACATCAACGTTGTTACTGTTTGCTCTCCATTTGTCTCGCAGCCCTCAAAGCACGCTAATTAATTTGTCAAGATCATTATCTCAACATTTCGGCCCGCTGGTATGTTGGAGGGCGGTTTTATAGCGTTTTCTGAGATTAAGCATAGCCCCTTGAATAGATTACAAAGTAATATTTATCACAATAAGTCTGCACTGTATGAATCCACATGAAGTTACAAGTTACAGATAAACTCATGATTGGAGTATCAATTGTATTCAAACACGAAGTACGACTTACATAGCATTTACCCTTGATTAGGTGTGCAGATCAAGCTCTGTAGTGAAGTCAAACCAACATTAAAACTTATCGACAGATTAAACCGATGTGGAACTTCAATAGTTGGCTGAGCTTTGCCACACAAATTATAGTTGGAGCCACGAGCCACGACTGAGGTAACTTCTGTTTAGATTATTGTATCATTTGCGTCCTCTGTTGAGGGAGTATCGATAAACAGTTGCTTTGTGGTTTACCGAGTGCGGATGTGACTCGACTACAAGCTGATTACAGAAGTTAAACTTGAACTCAAGTCGAAATGTTACTCGCTAAGCAACGTAAACCGGTTAGATGTAGTCAGTAGGCAGTGTACGTGTACGAGTACGTGAGTACGTACCTACTGTACTACATCACACAGTGTTATGTTCGAGTGGTGCTCGACCGAGTGGGATAAATAAGCTTGTGTGTGAATCTCGGGTTCACGTAACTAGCGAGCCACACATTTAGAGATCATAACATTGCCGCTACATGTGATTACGGCATCATTTAGTGAGTAAACTAGGCATTATACCGGTGCTTACAGCTACTATACGTTATTGTCGCAGTACGAAGAACGGCTCCGGTACCACTCCGACACGACACACGACACACGACACACGACACACGACACACGGCACACAACCGTTCCTCTAAGGTTGAGTTGCGCGATAAAACAAAGCGGCAAATCTTGTTTATTTTTCCGTAAAAGTCGTCGCTGGCGTAAAAAATCATCTCATATGTATTTAATTTTGCTTTCAGCTTTCATCAGGGTTGTGTCGAGAAAATATGAATTCTAATATGTTTGCGTTTTGGTTGAGATAAATAGAATAATGAGATCGTGTTGAGATTACATTATGTTACATATTTCAATATTAAGATACCTTGTGTCCGACCGGCTCGAGTACATGCTGCTTGCCTTATCTTCAGCCTAAACTAAACAGTCATTTAATTTATAGGGATAAAGAATAAATCCTAAAATTTCGCTAACCTGTATTTGTAAAAAAAAAAATTTTGAGCTAGAAATCTCTCAGCTTGTATCAATTTTAGAAAAATCTGAAAGTATGTAACACAAGCGATGTACGTAATATTAACTCTTCAAGACGACGACGACGACATGACGCTGTTCCAAAACAAATTCAGTAAAAAAGTCGTCCCCGCGCAGTACACCGCCTCGAAATCTTATAAAAATATTGTCACGACGTAAAAATGTACAGCATCAAGTTGAAGTAATCCAAGTGTCTGCCATCTTGGCTTTATGTACACAATTTGTTCGCTCATTTACTTGAGCATTATTAAATGTACATCATAAACTGGTGCAAAGCTGTTGTTTTTCCTCCAAAAATTAATAACGCGCGGGACCGTCTGTCGCTTGGGATTCGTGTTTTAATCTAACGCGGGCGGCAGAGGTGCCACTACAGCACACTCCTACACCTAGCTGGGGACGTGACGTAGGTAGCGGCGGGTTGCACGCGACGGCGGCTGATCCTATATCCTTGTTCCATTATAGTAAATCCTCGGATCTTCCAAACAATATGAAAAACATTCATCGGCGTTTCGGGATCAAGTTGTCAAGACGTACGCGTGCTCCTGACAAATCCAGCCGCCTTACCTTACCCTACTTTGACAAGGTTGTAAACTTGAGCAATGACGTGTATCGCGTTAAAACTTTGTCAAAGCTGGCTGCCATGATATGATTATACAGCAACTAGTTTCTCACTGAGCAACTTAATACCTTATCCGAATACACTGTTGTTGTGTGCATAGAAGTATACGTCTGTACATTGTACAACGAAATATTTCAAAGATGACGACGACCACGACACAGGACACACAAATGATATGACCACCAGCATACCAGCAATCAGTCACAAAGTTCCGTTGGCTGCGAGCAACATGTTGAATTGTTTTGATTTATTGGTTTGTATCCGAAGTCACACCCACTCCACCAGTTCAAAGTTTCAAGTAGTTCGTGTAGTTAGTCTGAGGTAGAGGTGAACTGTAAAACTGAGGAGGATTAGTAAATGTACGAGCCGTATGGTGTAGGGGGACCTGGGGGGAGGTAAGGAGGGCTGAGTGACCTTCAAGCTTCTGGTATCTTGTCACTTAATAAACGTGAGCTTTACTCGTGAAACGTTACTTTAAGTAGTTGAGTGAAAAGTTTAATTTGTTGTCAGTCGCAATCATTTGGTAAATAATGAAAATGAACCGTGTTGTTGAACTCGTCGGTACTCAATATGCAGTGCAACAAAAGTAAACGGCCGCTGCACTTGGCAGCTGTGCGGCCGCCTCGTGTCCGCACAGCTCTAGCCTGGCTC